GCAATGCCGGCGATTCGCGAGTCCCCCTTACTGCTGCTTTCCCTAAAGTATCATTCTTATTCTCAAGGGAATGACCTGGTCTGTATTGAGACTCGTTTTACTTTGCAGCTGAATTGATACAGTAGTTCTGATATTTCCAGTTTTCAAACATTTTATAAACCGGTGATTATTCCAGAACATATCCAGTATTTGGCGGCTATTGTTGTTTTGATTCTAAAACTTTTTTCCCACTTTTCTTTGTGTCGTGTCTTTTCTGTACCCCTCCTTCTACCATGGTTCTTAGTATTGAAACGACTGTTTGCATTTGATGTCATAATAAAATAGAGCAACAAATTACAAGAGTTTGAATCATTCCTTAAAACAATACTTTGCTTGGATACTGTTGTTGGTATTGTAATTGAGGTGTTCTGTATAGTTAAACTCACTTGTTCATCATGTTTGCAGACTGTCCAGGCCTTGACAACATCATCACATCATGCTTGGCTGAAGATGCTGACAACCTGTTGACAAAAGGCAAAGATATTGATTTTAGTTCGAGTAGCATTCCCTTGAGTGTTATTTCTTTGTGTTATAGTTAAAAAGGTAAAGGTCTACCCAATAATAAAATATGAGTGAAATTGATGCTCAATTTTTTTACTGGCATCTTCTCTTACAGTGTGACTATTTAACCATTGTAACCTAGACAGCAAGAACCAATCAAATTGTAGAATGAAAAGAATACATGAACATTCCAACTTTGGGTATTGGAGCCAATCAGAAAGCAGCAGAAAACAATAGCCCATCAACATATGTCTTATTCCAGAAAATGATGATGGTTATCTAGTTCTTACAGTGTGACTACTGTAACCAGGGCTTCCTTAGAATGAGAACAGTTCTTTCTAACTCTTTGGGTATTGGAGCCAATCAGACAGCATCAGAAAACAATAGCCCATCAACATATGTCTTATTCGCACGAGATAATGATGATGGTTATCTAGTTCTTACAGTGTGACTACTGTAACTGGGTCTTCCTTAGTATGAAAACAATACATTCCACAACTTTGGGTATTGGAGCCAATCAGAAAGCAGCAGAAAGCGATAGCCTTTCAACATGTTTTTTTAAAAATTCACATGAGAAAATGATGATGGCTATCTAGTTGTTTACACATAACATTCGGGTCAAATTACCATTCTTGTGCAGTCTAGGTGTCTGATTGGCTCAGCTACCCAAAGTTGGAATGCATTGTTTTTATTCTGCATTTTAATTGGTTCTCTTGTCTATCTGGTCTAAGTAGCCCCTGTTACAGTAGTTGCACTGTAATGAATACGAAAAAAAACTAATTTTGGATGGATGTACCTTTATATTCTATAACATAGCTAATAGTTTAACTTACTTGTCCGTCATACATCTGCTGGCAATAGCTTGATGCAATGTAGTATCATCACAATCTAATGAAGACACATACCAATACTTGTCATCAAGCTGTAGAAAGAGTGAAAGAGATCTGTTTAGAAACCTGAATCAATCATAGATATTTGTTGAAATGATTATATTACTAGCAGATACTAGTTAAGACTTCATTTCATAAATGTTCTATAATGCATGTCAATCCCTTAGTCCTGTTAGTTTACTGGTCAGCAGTAGACCATCTTGTACATTGGGAACCCTGTGGTTGTCTGACATCCACCATGTTGGTTTTGAGAAATAAAAGCCCATGTTATGCCACAACAAAGTTTTATATAACTAACTTACGTATGAAATTGTTCTCCAGTGTAATATACATACCTAAYGATTAGTAATAAATTGCTGCTTGGGATATGATCAACACTTTTGTGCTAACAAGGTGAGTCTTTATTGTAGGTCACAGGGTAATCGGGTTGATATTCAGGTCAACACCCATACAGCAATAAGGTGAGTCCATATTGTTATGAAGGTCACAGGGTCATCAGGTTGATATTCAGGTCAACACCCATACAGCAATAAGGTGAGTCCATATTGTTATGAAGGTCACAGGGTCATCANTATGAAGGTCACAGGGTCATCAGGTTGATATTCAGGTCAACACCCATACAGCAATAAGGTGAGTCCATATTGTTATGAAGGTCACAGGGTCATCAACAGGTTGATTTGCAGTTCAATACTCATAGACAACATTGTTATCAAGTGTTTTTGCTTCTTGTTTTAGTGCAGTAAAACCATTATTACCAGATTAATACCGAAGTATTCCATTATATATTGGTTACAGTCAAGATGCAGTATGGTAATGAGGTTCAGATTTCATGTATCGGCAGCCATCTTGTTACAGATCACTGGACAGTTTTATGAAGAGTTTTAGGTGTAAGATGTACTTTTAAATCTGCAATGCAAAGAAAGATAAGTCATTAGGACATTAATCTTTAGGATTTTCATGGTTCTAACGAGGGAGGGAGGTCTTAAAGTTTCGATAAAAACCAAAGTTTCAAAACGTGTAAAAAAATTAAAATACACTCAAACTAAGTTTAGAAACTGTTTATAAGGTTCCAAAAATCATATTTATGATATATTTAATTGTATTTTGCCAGAAAACGTGGAATTTCTCAGAGTTCAAACTCAACACGTGTCATGGCGGTCAATCGAACATTCGAAGTCTTTAAACCGTTTAAAATTATGAAAAACGCCAGAATAACGCAGAAAAACAGAATGAGTCTTACCTTTCATAGTTCTGGTGTTTTTATCTCTCTGTTAGGTGGAGCACGAGTTAATAATTTTTTTTTGTTCTTGTAAAATCCCGTCATTATATTTCCACAGATTGACACACGTCGAACCGCGAAGAAAGCAAGATGTAAATGCCACAAGTCACACCAAGGGCCTGGATACTAGCATATTACACAGGGATCCCGAAAAAAACTGGATTTTTTACCTAAAATTCGACATTTTGTGAGCAATATTTTTGGCCCAAAACATGCAAAATCACTAGAAAGAGCCATTATGATACTTTACGAAGGATAAAAACACGTAAAAACGCTTGTTTTAGAGGGAAAAGTATAATTATGTTAATTAGTCACGTGACCGGTCACGTGACCCCAAAATTTGTATATTTTAGGTGTGATCTTTGAAATTTTTTATGAAAAAATTTTTTCGCGGGTTTGAAATGATTCTTTACATTTGAATTCATTAGATCACGCAGTTGATAATAAAAGAAAATTGAACTATTATTGTGTGACTCTTATTGTCTGACCCATGAAAACAGAAAACAAAAAACAAAAAAATTAAATAGAATAAAACAACAGCTGAAAAATACCCCTCAGTATTTAGACACCCGACCAAGAATAAAATATACCCACAGACAACAATGAACAAACAAAGATTTCGAGACGCATGAAGCGCCAACATTTTTTTATTACACTTTCATAAGTTATCAACTTTATTAACTCGTGTAGCTTCGCTACTTCGCGCGCCTGTATTGAATTCAAGTTCCTGTCACACGCTGAAACTTTTAACTCAAGCTTAAGAGCAAGTTTCGGTTCTACAAGGACGTAATTGCGCCGTCAAAAACCCCGTGAATGTTGTCTAGTAACGGCGTTGATCGCAAGTTCTTGCTAAAAGTTTCAAAGTGTTAAACAGGAGATTTAGTTCTTGGAGCAAAACAGCACAGAGCAACCGTTTGATACTAGTAAATTATGCGCATCGTTTATTTTAGTTTGAATAAGTGTTTTCAAGCGTAGAACAAAGCATTTACCCGAGGGAATATCACGTGACTACACAGCGCCCAAAGTTATCAATTACATGACGTCATTTTTCGGTGAATATAGAGTGCAAACAATATAACCGTGAAACTTTAGTAATACTAAATAGCACAATGCAAATTCCATTGTTTTCTATTGTTTAATTAGCACTATTTTGTACTATTTAGTAATTAGTGTTTCACGGATTAGTTGTCTGCACTCTAGTAGAAACGCTTGTAAATTTCATTTTTGTTTTGGAGAGAAAGAAAGAATGGCTGGGAGCGCACCGTGTTCTAGTCACGTCGTTCCCTCGAGCATAATCTATTTCTTTCATAGAATCAGCATTCTTTGTCAACACACGAAAAAAAAGCAAGCCTCAAAGAATCTTGCACTTTATTAACCAGTGCCTTCATTGTTTATTTTGTCAATCCCTTGAGTATTACTTCTTTGTTTCTTGGTGACGGTCATTGGTGTTGATGAGTCATTGCGCAGCTCGCGATTATCCTGAAAAACTACCAGAACAGAAAAATTCCAAAGAAATCACAGCTTTTCTCGTAGGAATGTGCGATATTTCTTTTGTTTTGTCCTATAAGACTCGCATTTAAGATTTTAAAAGCGGTCTAGATGCTCTAATCACCTGAGCATGCGTGGGAAGGGGAAGGGGGGTAATGATATATAGTGACGATGAGATATTGTATTTTTTTAACGTGTTTTAATAAGACTCACTTAATTTAAGGTTTTACAAGCATTATTTCCATATTATTTAATGTTTTTTTCTCCTTTCACTGATTTACCTTTTATCCTGTAACTTTCTTTTTTGTTTTTGTTTTTTTTTTTCACATTTCTCTTATTCTTTTCTTTTCTTTTCTCATTACTCCTTGTTATTACTTAACTTTTCCTCACATTTCTGTTCTTTTCCTTCTTAATTGTTTCTTTTATTTTCTATATTCTCTATTGTCAGTTGATTTTTTACATTTTAAAAACTAATCTTCTCTTGTCAGTACTCTTTCGTTTCTCCTTTTTCTCTCTTTTTCTAATTTTCTTCTCTTTTCTTGATTTCTTTTGTTGTTTTCCCCCGCCATTCTTCATGCTTACCACCTGCTGAAATTGATTAACAGAGGAACAAAAATTAATTCTTTTTATCACGAATCACGTGGTTAATATATTTAATAATTAATGCAAGAATAAGAGGTACAGGGGATAGGTAACAGGGATAATATATTTCATAATCATAGCGGCACAGGATACAGGGGCACAACACACAGGGAACATTGGCATATGGAACTGGGGCACAGGGAACAGGGGGGCATGGAGCAGGAACACAGGGGCACAGGGAACAGGGCACAAAACACTGGGAACAGGGGCACATGGAGTAGGGGCACAGGGAACAGAGCACAACACATAGGGAACAGGGGCACAGGGCACAGGAAACAGGAGCACAGGGCACAGAGCACAAGACACAGCAAAAGGGGACAGACGGCAGGGGACAGGGATCATATATTTTATAACATGGATCAGGGCACAACAAAGAACAGGGAAATGGGAACAGGGCACATGGAAAAAAGAAAATGGAACAGGGGACAGAGAACAGGGAACAAAGAAAAGAGAACATGGAAATGTAAACAGAGAACAGGGGACAGGGCACTTGGAACATGTTCATGAGTTCCACTAATCATGTAACATTTACAGTAATGCACATCAGAAACAAGGGGAACAATTCCCTTGTGTTGATGTAAAGGACCCTCATTTCTAACAGGGGTAGGGGAGGGTTGGAGGAGTTTTAACTCTGTTGATGTGCTGCGTCTTACCTTTTAGTGGCAGCATCAATACCCATACAGGATACAGTCTTCTCTGTTTCAAGTGGTTTTCCTACCAGGGCTCACCCACACGAAAACTTCTTTTGAGTCTGCGGTAGGGGTGTCCCTGAAACTTAAGACAACACAGCAGAAGATAAGAAACGTTTACTCACTTTACTCAAATCACATCCAATCAATTAGTCCATTTTTACTCCATCCTTCCATTCAATCGAATTAAATCACATCCAGTACAATATTCCATTTCTACTCTATCAATCTATCAGTCCATACAATCATATTGATGACATCCAATCCATTTCTCCATTTTTACTCTATAAATCTATCCAATCCAATAAAATCACATCCAATCCATTCTTACGCCCTCCATCAATCTGTCCATCCAATCTAATTAAATCAAATCCAATCCATTAGGCTATCCTTGCTCCATCATCCATCCATCCAATCCAATTAAATCACATGAGTAGCATGGTTGGCATATGCTGTTAACACACCTTTTTTTACTGCTGTGATTCCAACAGCTCGGGTCACTGGTTCGAGCCCTGCGGTCATCACATGTGAATTGAGTTTGTTTGATGTGTTGTTCTCTCTTATGCTACAAGGGTATGTTCTGAAGGATTTTATTCGTTGATTTAACTTCTCTACAATCTGACCTTCTGAAGTGTCGATTACTTTAACTTCACTACACAACTGCACTAAACACACACACTGTGAACTGAGCGGTTCCAACTTTTATACTTTTTGAGCTATGTTCTAGAATGTTCTATTTGTTGCTATTTTTAGTAACTTACATCATACCTATGTTTAACAATTTTCTAGAACTTTCTGGAATAYGAACTTATGCATGACTTTAGGCATGAAACTTATCTATGTCTTGAACTTTCTAAAATTTTCTATTACTTGTACATTATTCTAGAATCTTCTAATGAACAGGGTTTGCCCACCGCTTTCCTCCCTCCATAAAAATCAACATGTAAGTTGAGTGTTGTGTGCATAGAACATTGAATGTAGTGGTAGTGCGTTTGAGGGGAAAGTGTCCCCAATCAACACGAAGTGCTAGAACAACTAGACACTCAGGGCTCATATCATCACTTTTATAATTTTAATACTTTGACAAAACAAATGTCTGCTCAGAATATTGATTCAGGATTCTGAAAATTATGTAATTCTATTTTGTCAGAAGACTTGCTATAAAAAATAATGCCATGTCAGAATTTGCTTTACTTGGCAAAGATAAAAAACAGTGGCAGGCCAAATTGTTTAGGTCCTAGACACTTAAATAAAGAGATTTATTTATTTTATTTTTATCCAATCCATTAGACCATTCTTCATCCATCAATCCATCCAATCCAATTAAATCACATTTTACTTCGTTCATCCATCCTATCTAATCCAATTAAATCACATCCAATCCCTTAGACCATCCTTACATCCATCCAATCCAATGCAATCCATTCGATCCATTAGCCTATTCTTACTCCATCCATCCATCTATCCATCCATCCAATCCATCCCATTCAATGTGTCAGTCTACTATAATGATCTGTACTCAAGCTGATAAATACCATCTTCCTCAGCACCCCTGTGCAATCCCAAAACACTTATCACAGTAATTTTTAAATTACTGTGATATATTGAAAAAAAATCAAATATGTGCTTACTTGTCACACTTGTTGCCCTGCTGCCGGGATGAACTGATGACTTCATAACACTGCTCATCACAATCCTCTATTTGGCGATTCACTTGTGTCCTCATTTAAATGGAAGTCCAAATACTGAAATAATAGATCATTTTCCAGGTTAAAGGTTTGGGCCATGATATCAAATTGATGTAATAACCTCATAGCTGTTAAATACATACCCCCTCCCCCCTCCCAGGAACAAGTAGTGTAGGAAAGGGCCATCTTTACAATAGGCCCTTTGCAGTTCACGGTTTAATTGGTGACTCATTTAAGCTACTTGTAAAGAACTGAATGAAAAGATGTGTAACCAGTGTGTTATGAAATGTAGTTTTATTACGATCTCTTGAAACAGGTTGTAGGAAGTTCGTTTGCTCTCCAGTAAATTTCACCCATAGGAATCAAAATGTTCATTCATTTGCTCTCAGTGAATTAATGAGCTCATGATTACTGAGCTGCAAGGGGCCTATTATTTGAGATGAAAAGTTGCACACGTTTGGAAAGTTACATTTTGCTCTTTGTTGGCTGGATAGTATGAAAGCCATTTGTTACTGAATATTTTGCTTCATGCATGGATTGCACTAATGGAATTCTGCACATATACATGTTCCTCCTGTTACCCCACTGCCCAGAACCCCCCCCCCCTGTAACTGCATTGTCATTTGACGTACCATCCCTATGGACTACACTGATATGATTCAGCATTAGATTTGTAAAAAGATGTAATGACCTGATTCCCTTCAAAGTATCATCATGCATTTAAAGTAATGTATTTATTTCATCTATTAGAAACTCATTGCAAGATCCAATTGCCCTATTTCACTATGACATCAATGCTTGTTGTGGGGGATAGAATCGCCAAATCCAATAGAAAATTCAACAAAATTTTCTCCTAGCGAAACAGTTTAATCTAAAATGACCTGGTTTTTTAGATATAATATGTGTTAGTATGTACTAAAAAATACTCTGAGCGTTTGCTGACTATTTTACTTCTCTTCGTGGATTGATACGGGTTTTAGAACAATTCACAGTGAATTTGCGTAGATTTGACCCTCTCCGATGACCATGATCCTTTGCGTTTAAACRATAGATTGTTTTGATGTGACGTCATAGTGAAATAGGGCAATTGGAGTGGTTTTCATTAACCTATGAAAAAGTGTACTTATTCACCATTTTCCATACTGGTTCACTGGTCAAATACAAAACACTCAAGCGAGGTGCCAAGGTACTTTCAAAGGATTATTCAAATTTGAGCCTTGCAATCCCAATTGAATGCTTTGTGTTTGACCAGTGAGCCAGTGTATGGAAAATGGTGAGTTAGAGTGTAATAGACACAAAATGACAATAGAAAATAAAATAATCGTTAGTGCTTAATACAATAGGGTATTGCAAAGGTTTATGAAAACCACTCTAAAAAATATCATTTCTAATGTCTATAAATTTTGTCACCTATTAAACACTAAGTGCAAGCTCCAATAAGAACAAAAGCATCATCTCTTATGGAAACATGGATAGTAGCATGGATGGATAGTAGCATGGATAGATGGAAGAATGGATGGATGGAAGCATGGATGGAAGTATCGGTGCGGTATGGCGGTAAAAAGTACACTCGTTTTACTCTTCGTTTTGTTTATCTAATTGCGTTAGAGAAAGTTCCTAAATAATAAAGGACAGATTACAATTTAACAATAAAACGGAAAGCAAAAGAAATAGGAATAAATACTTACAAAACGATGTGTAACTTAAGACGGTTGACGTTGAACTGACAAATTACTAACTGAGCTTGAGTGAACTTAACTTAGTCTAAATTATGCACATATTTAAAGTTTGGAAACAAAGGCGGAAAAATGCAAACGCATAAAATTCCAATCTAGCACTAACAGGAAGCATGGATGGAAGCAAGGATGGATGGAAGCATGGATGGATGGAAGCATGGATGGATGGAAGCATGGATGGAAGAATGGATGGATGGAAGCATGGATGGAAGCATGGATGGAAGCATGGATGGATGGAAGCATGGATGGAGGCATGGATGGTAGCACGGATGGAAGCATGGATAGAAGCATGCATGGATGAAAGCATGGATGGATGGTAGCATGGATGGAAGAATGGATGAAAGCATAGATGGATTGTAGCATGGATAAAATGATAACAATAATGTCATCCAAGCCACAGAAAAGGTCTAACCATTTGCAGATATTTTTAGAGGAAGCAGCATCTTCTACGTAGACATAGTAGAATAATAATAATTTATTTTGTGTTACCTGAAATAAAAATTAGGCTCTTTAAATTTAATTTGATTGTTATATCCTTAAGTGCGAACCACATCTCCTTGAAATAGCACAAAAACTAAATAGCAAAATACCAATCATTTTTTTATTATTTTGCTTTCAATTGTTTCATTGGTGCTGTTTTATTTCACAGATATATGGTTTGCACTCTAGCAAAGAAAATGCCATTGCTACTTCTATGTTTTTAAATATTTTTGAATATAAGAATACTCCTTTTTACAGTACCATTCAGTGATCACAAATAATAGTTCTAAGTCGAGGCTGGAAAATCTGCGCATAGCAAAATTATGCTTTTTATCACACGTGGCAACTCCAACCTTGGCCTGGAACTGTTATTCATGGTCACTGAATGGAGCTTTAAAATGAAGTATTTAGGTTTATAATTGTGAGAATTTTAGCATTATTACAAATGGTGATTTTCTGAAAAATTATTTCTGAAAAAGTAAAGGTGTATACAGCCCCTCTAGACCTCCTGCTCTACTCAGATATTTAAAGGCTCTGAGTGTGAGTCCAGCTGCGGAGTTGAACCCATAACCCAATTATATCATACCGGTGCCCAACAAACTACTGTAAGGGACAGACCATTAGATTTTTGAGGGGGGTTGGGAGGCAGTTTGGCAAAAAAAAATCGAGCACAGTTTTAAAGAGTGAAAGAGATTTGTCCATAAGAAAAGTGCCAGAAAAAAATCCAAATTCTGTCCGAAAAAAATCTTGCACAGCATGAGGCATCAAAACAAATTGCTACACAAAATAAATTGCCCACCACCCCCCCCCCCTCAAAAATCTAATGGTCCGTCCCTAAGCTAACTGGCATTTCCATAACAACAATAAACTATCGATAAACGATGAAAACGTAGTGGCGGAAAAACCAGATTTTTCCGAAATATATTTTGTTTTGAAGCGACCAGAAACAAGAATGCTGTATAATCTTCACAATGGTCGATTTTGAAGAAATTGCTGAAGTATTTTAGACGTGTTTTATCATGTTTTGTGTGTGTGTGTGTTTTATTATGTTATTGGAAATATAAGCGGCTAAAACATTCCATAGATCTCACAAATTATCACTAAGTTGCAAAAGAAACTTTCCTCAGACTACCCTTATTGCTATCTGCAAATATCTCTGACCAACTCCTCGGCGATAAAGAGATCGAGCTCTTTATTCAAATGCAGTTTTTCCCAGAGTTTTGATTGCATGTTCACCCACTCTCTTAAACGACAAATAAAACTGTTTTTAAATGAAAAGCTCGATCTCTTCATGTTTTCTTCCTTTTCGCGGCAATACATTAATACTCAAATTTCATACATACCTGCAGATTCCAGCCATAAGTTAAGTTTGCCAATAAACAAATTAAAGTATCCACTTTTACTCTACTTTGTAACGAAAACACAGCTGCAATTTTAACACTCGAAAATTCCGCTGATCAAAAACTACTGAAGGCTCGAAGGCACAGGTAGCCCAAAGGAAGAACTTGATTTGGAGTTCAAGGGCTTTTACATCAAATTCACTTCTTTTTTTTAATAAATTTGAAAATAGTAATATTGAGTTTGTTCTGGTAAAAGTGGAAGAAAAGTATTAGGAAAGTATTTTGAAAGTAAATGTGAGCATGGAGGGCGGAGCACTGAAGGGGCAGGGGAGGGGAGGGAGGGGGTAATGGCTAAAAGTTTTCCCGAGAAACGTTAAAGAAATATGCCTAATTTGTTGGCGCGCTTTAGGGAACAATGTTTTCCCATTTCAGTCCGTGACGTTTTCGTGAGAATAAGTTTCTTTTTTTCAGTTCTATCTAATTTCACGTGTCTTCTCACGCACAACTATTTCACAAAGAAATGATACTCTAGAAAATGACATGCGGTCTGAAATGGGAAAACATTGCATCGCGATAAATTAAACCTATATTGTTTGGCGTGTTGCGCATTTTGGGCCTATGGGTCTGTTGGTCCTGTTTATATCAACGTTAATAATATAACACCACACAAGTAGCTTTTTCAATGTTTTATTATTCACTACTAAAATCATAATCAGTTAACATATAAATAAATATTTTACTGTACAAGGAGGGCTCAGCTGTGCTCACGTGACATCCTATTATGGGATATGTGAACATATTTGCATACACTTATTTCAATAAAGTTAGTCACCTGAAAAGCTGAGACAAGCGAGGATTATGGGTAGTTACATTTTACATGTTTCAACCGCTTTGATAACTGTTGATGGATTTTAGATCTTTTGCCAGTTACATTCTCGCCTCTTCTGAGCATCCTCAAGCTGCAAATAGTACCAAAAGCGTTACTTGTTTGATGTTAAAAGTTTCCCATGATCCTCAGTGATTTCAGCTTTCTAGGTTTTTTGGTGACTAACTATTATTGAAATAAGTGTATACACAAAATTAAAAAAGTAATGACAAAAGTGTAAAAGTGACACCTTGAAAAGATGAAAAAAGTTACTGACGTTTCGGACGCTAGTCCGTCAGAGTAAAAAAGCAAAAATAAACCTTTTTTACTCCGACGAAGTACTAGCGTCCGAAACCTAAATAAGTGCTTTCATCTTTTTATGGTGTTAAATTTACCCTTTTATCACTACTGTTTCATTAGAAACCTCGACGCAGCTCACACTAGTTTTTGGCTAGTTTATATCTCTTCTATTTAAAAAAATGTTGTCATCGCTAAAGGCGATAGGCGAAAAGCGATAGGTCATTCCAATATCCAAGACTAGCTGGAATGACTTGTGTTTCTGCTTCTTATTCTCGTTAAGAACAGGGACCTTAGTAGTGAGACTGATTCAATGTTCTTTGTATTCGACGAAACCATTTCTATGTCGGAATGACCCTATCGCCAAGGTAATACAGACTAGCATGTTTTAGTCAAATCCAACTTGTGGTCTATCATCAATGCAGCATTCTGATTGGACGAGCTATCACTACGCTATAAGTAGCGAAAAGTGCCGGCTGTGAAAACCAAAACACTAAATTGAACTTTGATTTAAATCTTGTTTGCATCTATAACTTTGACCGATTAGTTGGATTTGACTAAAACGATTAGTCCTCTCGCCCTCATGGCCTATGAGTCCATAGCCCATTAGGGATTGAGGATTGACTGCTAAATGGAAAGACGGTGCGCATAGAGATATGATCTGCACAGGCGGTATATCGGCGCGTCTCAGTAAAACGCGTCCTGATAAAGCAGTTTTCGTATGACTGTGAAAAGCTCGGAATCGTATGCATGTCTTGCCACGACCATGATGTTTTATAGGTTTTGATTGGTTGATTTTTTTCTTGCGCAACGTGATTGGTCGGGCGCATGCCTTGCCGTGAGCTTTTTTTAGTCATACGTGTCATTGTGCGAAAACTGGTCTATAATATAACGAGGGAGATGTTCATAAACTATCTATAAAGCTATCAAAAATCTCTATATGATCTCTATCAATAAGTGCTTTTGTCTTATATCATATAGTAAAGTCACTCAGCGCAGTATCCAGTGATCTGGGTTCTGATTGGTCTTCAGGTCCACGCAGGTAATATGCGTCAGGTCCGTGCGTCGCTGCTTCTTTTAAATAGGACAATGGTACAATCGATTGTTCCTACCACCGGTAGAGTTGATCGCATAAATACGAACCACGGGGATAGAAATGAAGAGGACTTTAGGTGCAGGTAGCAGCTTTCAGCCTCGTCGATCCCATCCTGTTCCGTCTAGGTAAAATCCATGCACGTAAACATCTTCATTTGGGGGACTTGTGATGTCATCTTTGAAGAACCGAGTGACGTCATTGTGTAGGACTACGCAGTCAAGTGCCCAGCCTTTGTGAGTTCCTGTAAACAGCGCAGTAACAAACAGATTAAAACGTGACCCTATAGTAATAGTAGTAGCCTCTGATTGCGTGACTGAATGTAAACTGACGTAACTTAACAAGCAGATGCTTAAGTTGCTAACTACGTGACTAAATAGATACATTTCTTTGTTTAACAGTTGCGCAACAGAACACACTTCAATATGGATACAAATCAAACAAAGAATTTGATTATCAAGAGAATGAAACAGGTGTCAGTGGCGGGTAACTAGTGTGACAAATACTCTGATTACATTACTCTCGTGATACGATAAGTACGTGACTGACATAACTACACGATTGCGTGACTGTAATAGCGTAACGTAAGGTGCCTTACCTGTCTCATGGCTGTTAAGAATCCCTGAGGATTAGAATCCAGTCATCCAGAACACATAAGGGTGACCATGAAAACACCAGGAACGGAACTGGGCATTGCGCTCTATAAGCTCCGTAAACCAGAAGCCCAGAGTGGAAGACTTTCAGGAAATCTGAGAACAAACATGTTATAAAAAAAAGTGAGAATATGAATGAACGTACGAACAGGGGGATGGTGACAGTAACTGACCTTTTTCCAGTGTTTTGGGGTCCGTGCGTCGTACATACAGTCCAGGGCATTATGTAGCGTCTGTAATCACACAATCATCAACATTGTTATCATCAACATTGTTAGCATCATTATCATCATCCCCATCATCAACCACCATCCTCTTCACCACCATTGTTATCATCATCATTACATAATAATTATTAACCATCATGATCATGATCATGATCACCATTACCACCACCACCACCACCATCTAAAATTCCTTACCTCACTTATAGTAATAGTGCCGTCAATAGCCAGAGGTCAGTCAGGGTCACTAAACAATGGTTTCAAGTCGAGGTTGAACTTGATGAATAAGAGTCAAGAACAGTCTCAACTTCAAACCATTGTTTCGTGGTCATCCAAGCGAAATTGGGAAAGGAGTATTTTTTAAAGAGTGCCCTTTATAAGCGCGCAAGTCCTAATCGGTATTTTGCGCACAACATTGTTGTTATATCACATTTTAATTCAAATCATAGAAACGCAGTCGATTAGAACACATAAAAATATGCGCGAATCCCACCTCTTTCTTCTGAACATTTTAGCACACTTTCCATTTCGTCCTTCGTGTCCAAAATAACGCCTTCTTTCGTTATGTAGTAAAAAAAAAWAAGAAACTTSCTTGCTGTGCTGTGCGAAGTTAGGAAGCACTTGGGAATTGGTAAAACATTCCGCTGCGCATCGTGCTTGTCCTCAATGCCCTCTTAAACGAGGCATTTTTTTGCGAAATTTTGATAAAAGCAGWGCAATGCTGATAAAAGGAGAGCAATGCAAATAGCGCAGCGCGCTGATTCCAAAAATAGCTTAAAGATTCGGACAAACATTGCATTCTGTTTAACCGCTACGAGGATTGTACGAACCGATTTTATTATTTTTACTTAAAGTTATAATAAAAACCCATGTAAACTAAGATCAACTGCGATCGGCTGTGAAAATTATCTGCTGAAAGTAAACTTGTAAGTTTGTTTGTCCAAATTTCGCCTTTGTCTTCGTTTTTATGACGTCACGGCTGTGCTGCGCTATTGCAGGTTTGATGTGAAACATGCACAACTTCATTCGCAGGTTATAAAACCAAATTTGCCTTGGTCAGCGATAACACAGGAAATGTAGTATTGATATGGAAGAGCTGCGCGCTGATTGGTCATTTGCGATAGTAATTGCATTGCAGGTTACGGGATAGACGTTACACGCTGCAACTTGCTTCGCGACGTTGCTCGCTGCAGCGAAACTACAAAAACGAATGAAGACCCTCAACAAGGGGGTAACGCAATCAACTTCTCAAATCATTCATTGACACAATTCTCGGTTATCACTCACGTCACCAACGCCTTGACAACCGTTGGTATCCGCCATAGTGGTGTACAAACAAACACTTGAAGAGCTCGATGTATGAAGCTAAGTTAAGATGGTTCTGTGCTTATTTGTGGATTGCCACGCAAGAAGTGGTCGAGATAAAGATATTTCCATCTCCAGAGTGCCAGTAATTGATAGAAATCACGGTAAAGAGGCAGAAGAGCTTTCAAAAGAGCATCGAACGAAGTGGATCGCGGCTATAAGCAGAGATGACTTTGACGGAACAAATCCTGAAAAACGACGTTGTTTGTAGCCGTCATTTTATCTCCGGACGTCCAGCAAAACCCTGGGATAAATAATGCTCATTGGGTGCCTACCCTCAACCTTGGGCATACAAAAAGTAACAACAAAGACAAGTGGAAAGTAGTCCAGGAACAAGCAGAGAGAGCCAAAGCTAGAAGAAAGAAGAAGCTTGACGACGCCAAAGCGACGATGAAAGAGAAAAGACTTCGGTTGAATGATGAAGGGACTCAAGTCTCTAATATCTCTTTTGCATCTTCGACAACAGAAGAAATTGATGTGTCGTTCGCGGATCTATACATTGATGGAAACGAAAAATCATCACAGACCGAAGTCAAAAGCTTTGCCAAGATAAGCGCTCAACCGAAGGATTGGCACATAAGTCTTATGATGCCTGTTCACAGACAGACGATTATTTATTTAACTCAAACGAGGGAGTCACCAATTTTGACAAAGATTCTACTACGTCATCGGTCTATGTCGCTAGTAAGTCACGTGAGATATGCGAGCGCACCTTCACATTCAGTTGCTTGCCACCCTTCGTTGCATTCGGATGAAAGAAAATGGCGCGCAAACGCCAACAGACCGAACTGGAGGAAAAACGAACAGAAAATGAAAAAGAAGAAATTGAGCTGCTCGGAGAAGAAGAATCCTCAAAGGAAGAAGAGAATGAGGAGGGAAAGACACCAAAGAATACCAGCGACACGCTGGAAAACACACTGGGAAACCTAAACAAGAACATGGAAATCATGGCGGAGGCGATGACTTCGATGCACAAAGCCATGAAAAGAATGGCAAAAACTCAGGATAAAAGTTTACCAAAGAGGAGGAAAGTCGAAATGTCTGACTCAGACATCGATTCAAGCATAGAATCGGAAAATTTCGATGTAGACAGCGACTCGCTACTGAAAGAAAGCCCAGAGACCAAAAAGGGCGGGAAAAACGACCCAAAAGACGACCTACTAGATAGCATCGCGAATGAGCTTGATGCAGATGAAAAAATTGGACCTGATGTGTCTGATAAGCTTGCTAACATAGTAAACAAGCGATGGTCGGAAAAATTAAATTCAGAAAAGCTTTCTGATAAGCTTAAAAAACATGCCCGACCCGGGAATCTAAAAAATCTGGTGGTACCAAGAGTTAACCCAGAGATACAGTCGATCCCAAAAACGTTGTCCAAGTGAAAAGAGGTTTATAGGACAATAAATGTCACGTGTGCCATTAAATATTCAGTTTTACGCGCGTGTGGAAATAGGAATCTGAACGTGCTGCATCACATGCGTGGCAGAAAATGTCGACGGCGGGTAATTCAAAACAAGTTCTTTCGACTTTAGAAGTTCGGGTTTTGGACTCCAAGAAGAAGTCTAGCTACGTTATAAGAAGTTTACCCAATTTTCCAGTGTTAGAGACCGTTTCAGAGCTACGTTCTGAGCTAGTGAAAGCCTTACCAGACTTAGAGAACGTTCTGCAAGACTGAGTAATGAGTAATGAGCAAACCAATCTGCACGTACCATACCTTCTTGCGCGTGAATCCAAGCCTGTGGACCGTTCTGCATAATGTTTGGGCACTAAAAGCAGAGCCAGTTGTATTGAATATTTTCCACGCTATTTCCGTTTGACCGTTTTAGGACTTACAAACAGATTAGCGGTTATCTCCTGGTATGCTTTTGCATAAAACAAATGTTGGTATACCATTCTCCTTTCAGATTTAGTTTTCAATACTGTAATTTAYTTTTGCATCAGTATGCTAATTAAAAAATCCACGCGCGTAAAACTGAATATTTAATGGCACACGTGACATTTATTGTCCTATGAACCTCTTTTCACTTGGACAACGTTTTTGGGATCGATTGTATGGTCAAATATGAATCACCATATTAAACGAGAGGACCTTAGGAGAGCCAGTACTCAAAACACTGTCGCTAAGGTCGGATCTATTCTAGCAAAGTGCACCGACATTTTGCTGAAAGCTCGAAATGACAACAAGAAAGAGCTAGACATCGATGAAATGATCGGATTACATACCGATGCGATAGCCATCTTGGGACACACACAATACGAACTGTCAATGGCACGAAGAGATGCCATAAAACCCAGCTTGAAAAAAGAATATGCTGGGCTATGTTCACAAAATATCCCTGTCACAAGCCTGCTTTTTGGAGACGAACTCCAACAACAACTAAACAACATAAAAGCATCAAACAGGATCACACAAACAGCGGCGGGCGAACACAGAGAACGAAACACGTTCCGAAGGGATAGCTGGAAGCAAAAGCAGTCAATTATTTCAAAAGATCCTATCAGTCCCAATACAGAGGGAAATACCGAGGAAACCCAAAAAACTCGAGATTCCCCTCCTACAAGAGAAAGGAGGGGGGAAAGAACTAAGCATGGACGACATACAGGTCAGTAATTTTGAAATCAACCTTGATAATATAAAGCAGTACTTGAATACAAAAGTTGACCGCTTTAAAGCGGGAAGGATAAGAGAATCCTACCATTTGTGGGAAAAACTTACCTCAGACTCTGAGGTTCTGAATACCGTTAAAGGTYAGACTATTGAGTTCACCAGGACCCCTTATCAGGCCAGAGCGCCTACTCAGAAAAAATTCAGTGTTGAAGAGAGACATATTGTTGGGTCAGAGATTAAAAAATTACTAGATAAACAAGTTATCCAGCTATCAGATAATGAGCCTCACGAGTTCATATCCACAATATTTTTACGACCAAAGTCAGATGGTACACACCGTATGATACTTAACCTCAAAAAACTTAACGAGTCTGTTATGTATCATCATTTCAAAATGGATACATTATGGTCGGTTATCAGAATGATGAAACAGAATTGTTTCATGGCATCCATAGATATCAAGGATGCTTACTATTCAGTCCCTGTGAACCCTAACGACCAAAAATACCTAAAGTTTGAATTTGACGACCAGTTATATAAATATACATGCTTTCCTAATGGCTTAGCACWGTGCCCTAGRAAGTTCACAAAACTACTCAAACCAGTATACTGCCACTTGAGGGAGAAAGGACACCTTTCATCAGGATATATTGATGATTCCTATCTACAAGGCGATAGTTATCAGGAATGTCTGGCCAATGTTGTAGACACCATAAAATTATTTGACAAATTAGGCTTTGTTGTGSACCCAGAAAAATCTGTGTTCATACCCAGTCAAGTCATTACATTCCTGGGTTTTGTTCTAGACTCTAGTAATATGACAATTAAGCTTACCCCTGAAAAAGCGGAAAAATTAAAGAATTGCTGTCAGGAGGTCATTAGCACAGCTAGACCTACCATCAGGACCATTGCAAAACTCTTGGGTCTTATGACAGCGAGCTTCCCTGGGGTTAGATATGGCCCACTTTACTACAGGAGACTAGACAGGGAAAAAACAAGGGCACTTTCAATGCACAGAGATTTTGATAGAAAAATGACTTTGTCATTGTATACTAAAGTTCACATTAAATGGTGGATAGACTCTATACACACCTCATTTAATATCATCAATCATGGGGACCCCCATATTACACTTTATACAGATGCCTCAAAAATTGGTTGGGGCTGTGATTGCCAAGGAATAGCTACAGGGGGACCATGGAGCCCAGAGGAGGCTGGAAAGCACATCAATTATCTAGAAATGTTAGCCATCAAACTGGCTCTAGAATCTTTTGAAAATAAAGTTAGTCACAAACATGTCAAACTGATGGTTGATAATATGACAGCTGTCACCATCCTTAGTAATATGGGCTCAAGTCATTCATGGGAACTGAATGAACTTAATATAGAGATATGGGAATGGTGAAAAACCAATGCACCATAGGCATAAATGAAACTAATAAGGATCAACCCTCTACCATCAGATAGGCAAGAAGGAGACCCTGAAGCATCAAAATATAACAAGCTTTCAGAGGAAGAGAAAAAACAAATATAAGATATATTATTTATTCTAGACAAGATTTGAGTAGGAATTCTTCCCAAATCATATCTATTTCAGCAGTGCAGGAGTAATTTAAACAATATATGTCACATTGACAGGCTTCCAGGCAAACAACCAGGAGGCAAGGTACACTCAGTCAAGACATAATAGCTCAGCATGTTCAAGAATACCCGAATGAAAATCCAGCAGCTGAGAAAGTACATATTAAACTAAATGGGGATGGAGCACGGATGACTCGTAATTCATACTTTGTTCTTTTGTCTTTCTCTCTTACAAACAGGAGAAAATGTTATGACTGCCAAAGGAAACAGAACTCTGGCCATACTAAATGGCAAAGAAGATTACAACAACTTGAAACAGTCATTTGGGGAAAGTTTTCAAGAATTCAATTCAATGATTCAGGAGGGTTAATTGCAACTTCAAGACAAAACAAAACAATACTTATGACCAGGCAACATCACTCTCTGAAATGAAAGAGTTGCTGCAAAAAGCCACTCATTGACATTCAACTGAAACATGTCATTCCTGATGAGCTTCATCTTTTATTAAGAATAACTGACATTTTAACTAAAAATCTGATTACAGAAGCACAAGACTGGGACTTTGAGGACAATCTATCATCAAATGCTAATTCTGAAAAACACATCAACAAATTACTTCAAACAATTAGATCTTGTGGTATCACATTTGATATTTGGAAGAAAAAAAAGATATTAATAATAAACCTCTAAACTAGACTGGACAAGTCTCATGGGCAATGACAAGACAAAGCTACTTTTTCAACTTCCAAAGGAAATGGACGCATATTTGAGGCCTGACACTGCAGCAAAAGTGATTAAGGTGTGCACTGGTTTTGGAGCTCTATACAAAAAAATCAACGAATGGCAACCAACCTTCACTCCAGAAGAGCTTTGGCAGGAAGCTAAATCATGGATAAATGAYTTTACTTCCCTTGCAGGGCTCAGAGAGGGGTTTGAGCGAAAGAAGGTAACCCCATACATGCATATTAAGGCTTGTTCACACGGGCGGTTTTTGGGGCGATTTGAGGTGCGATTTTCTCGGCGACGCAAAATYGCGCGTGTGAACACCGGATTGTAAACAAATATGTGAAAAGCCGTGAAATTTCAGTGTTTTGGGGCCTTGATTTGCTATGAATACTGACGAATCTGACGCTGCAATAGCCTGTTTGTGTACAGCTATTGTCTTACCGGTTCACCGGCAGAGGAAGAGGAGAAAACCTCAAACAATTTGGGTAAAACCATGGATCGCGACGAGAGAAGTGGATGGTGCTTTTCACAAACTTTTAAAAAATTTGTCGGATGATCCTTTTCACTACAAGAATTTTTTACGCATGGACCTGGCCACTTTTGAGCTGCTGTTAAGCGAAATCGATCCGCTTATCCAAAAACGAGACGATACAAGACATGTTTCCCCCAAGAGATTTTGGGAGACGAAATTACAGAATCGATTCAAAAATTCCAAAGTGGACAGAAATTGTGACTCCCTTGAAGATATGACGGGTCGCCCAAAGAAGAAAGCCTCTATTTCTAAGGACTAGACTGAAGTACCAAATATTGACCTCGAAGATGATAAGATGGAAACAATGGTGAGAGATAAAGAAGGAGTGGAAAAACCTCCGTAAAGAACATGCAGTTAAGTCCTTATGCAAAAGACATATAGCAGAGGAAGAGCACCATTTGTTAACATATAACGTATTGTTACGAGGTTAAGCATGAAGTATAAGGGAATAAAGAATAAGGGATTAAATAGATAAAATGCCCGCTGTTGAGCAAGGAAAAAAGAATAAGGGATTAAATAGATATGCACGTGGAAATTGGGATTACATCACCAGCTCTATATAAGAAATGTTAATGTAAAAATGAAGTGAGCAGCAGTTAATACTTGAAGACTTCATTGTTGGTTTTGGGCCCGACGCTAGATTTTTATAGGCAGAGTGACGGACGGTACAGTATTAACTATGTGATCACCAAAACTTCTCACAAATGCGGCTATCAAATGCACAGAAAAATAGCTTTAGATAGGAGAAAATATAGACCAACAACAAAAAAAAGAAACAACTTCCATGTAGTCAAAGATGGATCAAGAAGCGTTCTTCAAGAATTCAGGAGTGTTTTTTAGCAAACAATGCGTATATTATTTTTTATGACAAGGATTTATTTTCAACGAATCGACAAATTAAAGACTCTCAAAACTTTTAATATTTCTATAGATAAGCTTAATTTATTTTAATGCTGGATAAAATATAAAATAAATAGCATATTACAACAAATATTCGTCCTTTTAATTTAACTTTTAAACTGTAAATCTTTAACAATTCGGTTGTCTTTTTGAGGTTAAAATCGAATATGAAGTTTCAGCATCGTTATCTTGTCTTAGTTTCCTACACAGCCGCTATGAGTGTCGTTACGCACACTGTTGTACTGTCTTTGCAGGATACTAAATTCTGTGTGCACGGGTGATGTTGATGCTGAAAATGATAAGTTCAATGTCAAATCACCTTAGGGTGAAAATCTGGAAAACAGTGATATTCCTAAAGACGCTGGTCTTTAAATGTTGAGCAGTATGAAGAGGGTGATGACCAGGATGATGCAAGTGGCCACTAGTGTTCAATACTAAGTTGCCTAAATACACTCATGAAGGTACATGTTTTATTGGAGATTTGCAGCATTTTTGTTCCCGAAAATGTTGATGTGAAATCAACGAGCCTTAAGTCAGCAACCCTCAACTACATGCAGCTTTCATCAAAATAAAAAGGTTTTATCCTTCTCAAGAGATCAAATTTTTTTACTGAATACCAACTCCCCAATTAAAAGTGAATCTTTTAATTTTCGTCCGGTATCGTCTAAGCCAAAGCCTAGGCTAAATTTTATTAATTTCATGCGCGGTGATGGGGATAAGGAGGGAAAATGGTACCCTGTCTCCTCCCACCTTTAACTAAAGGAAATTAAGAGAAGCTAAGAAGTGTTGGGTTAGTACATATAAATTCAAACGTTTTTTWAAAATTAATTCATAAAACTAATTTTACTTTAAAGTAGTAATTATCAGTTAAAAGTTTGGTAAAACATCTTTTTTCCTTCCCCAGAGGCTGTCACTCGTTTTTCAGAGACCACTAAGCTCTTTTAGTTGTTAATCAAGTATACTCCTTATTTTTTAGCGGTATGTAGACAATGTCCGAGAAAATTTGACAAGCGGCAAGATCAAGCAACGTCCACATTAACTACTTCATCCGAAGGGATGGATCCAAGGCTCCTTCAAACACGTGACCAGGAACCTGCTGAGCAAGGACATCCACAAGAAAAGGGGCATTCCATTGAATCACCTTCTGATGAAAAATCGGTTAGTTAACTTGATTACCTCGATCGTACTTATTTTCGCGTGTCTAATTTTAAAATTTTCGATTTGCAAAGAATTCGTGGAATTAACCTTGCGAAAAAAATGTGCAAAAAAGATAAATAAACAGCCGAAAATGTGATGCCCGAATCTAAATAACTAGAAAACTGAAAATCGAGTCAGTAACTGATATTATTGAATAATAGCAGTCATTAATTCGATAAATACAATGTTCATTACATTTGATACCACAGGAAAGTAAAATAATCATAAATTACATTTAATTGCAGTCAATAATAGCAGAACATGAAGAAGGCACAGAAAGTGATATGGATGAGTTGTCGAAGGCCATGATGAACCTGTCTGTTCTAGATGACTACGTCCCAAAACAGACCACAAGTGATAGCAGTAATGAGAGCTCGAATGGTTTCCATGGTTTCCAAAGGAAGATTAGTCTCCGTGAAAAACGAATGAAGCTGAACGAATTTTTGAGTTGTTGTGACGCCCGCCACAAAAATTGGTCCCTATAAGAAAAAATGGGAAGAAACAAGTGTGCGCACTAAAAAAAGTCACGTATCCAAAGCCAAAGATCTTGTGGTTGCAGGATTAAATGTCATTGCTCCAGGGGACGCTGACCACTTATGGGAGGCACTAAAATCTTCCAACATTGTAGAAAAAGCTTTAGGAATGATCGAGGAATCGTCATCAGACAAAATGTATTCAGAATCTCTTGCTGAATCTTTCCACAATGCGTCAACCTGGGAAAAGTCTTTCAATTATGGCGGACATGGTTACATATAGAAGACAGCAACACTATATACCTGGCATTACAGAGTACAGGGTGAAAATGGCTCGTCGACACAGGCTAGAGTATGGTCGTGGTGTACTAGTACAACAAAATAAAAGCACGAGAATGTGAGTCAACCACAGTCAATTAGACCATTTCCTGACGTTAGTAACTATTTCCCATGTGATACAAGATCTTCCTTTTGGTCAACGATACCTTCGACTTTCTTCAGGCAAAGTACAAACACAAAATGTAATCCGTACCATGATTCCCAGTCGCCTTGTAGAACAATATCAGCAGTACTGCAGAGAGACCGATTTCAAGCCCTTTGGACATGCCACAATGCTCCCTGCAGCCATGTTCACATGATGAAATTTGTTGCGCAGGTTTGCATGCAACGTTGCGTGCAACAAGTTTGGGGTAGACACACGCTGCGACAGTCTTGTTGCGTGCAATGTTGCATGCAGTGTTGCACCGTGTGTCAGCACCTTAGCATATTCAGCT